CCACCTCAGTTTCAGTCGCTGTAAGAGGCAGAGGTGCTCGAAAATAGCCGGAGTATTAGCACGTACCAACATCAGTCATCTACTCGATAGGTTCTTCCTTTCAAGCGATTTTTAGAAGCAAGCTGATGGCGGTGTGCTATCATCACTCGGGCTACATTCCTCTCATCAAGGCTCGATCCGGCAGCGCGAGGTGGGGAAGGGGGAGGGTTGCCTCATACCTTTTTTAAATTATATCAGCTAATTCAATAAAGCATTCCTTTTTTTTTCTTGCTCGATTTTTCTGTACTTATTTCCAGGCCAAGAAGGAACTGAAGATGCCGAATCGCAATCGTCTCAACGTGTTGGTGCCGGCCATTCACCACCTCGATCGCAATTAACCGGTAAATTCGAATTCCAAATAAATAACAAAATTCAAGCGAGCCAGTCGTTGTGGCCTTCATTGTGAATTCCACGAAAATGATAGCATATTGATGGATTCTGACGTACCTTCCATACACCGGAGATGATGCTGTCGTGGGCGAAGCTGTTTTTCAAAAATTGTTCTGGACCAGGAGGGAATCGAACCGCCCCCCTTCAGGTCTGGGTGCAGCGTGTTACCGCTACACCACCAGCACTTTCCGTTCAGCTCCAGCCTGGACAGCACATCTACTGTGTTCCGCCTTTCAAGACAAAATACACCTTTTTTAGCCGGCTTTTCATGGGTTTTCCGTGGCGGCTGCGTCATAACACTGATTGTTTTAAAATTGCTTAAAATCGCACAGTTATCCATGTTAGTTTATATGGAGGACCTTTATTGGTGATGATACTAGGATGCTTCCACACACACTTGGCGTAGCTGTGCCCGTCCTTTCGCTGTTAAATTGTATACATCTAGTCAGCTTCTTACGATTTGTTGTCAGTGCATCATCTTTTCGGAGGGTGAACGAATTTCTCGCGGACGGCACTTACTAATACGAGACATTATCCACTAGCTGTTGTCGAGGGCCATATCTCGCACCTAGCAATGATATTCACCATCATCTGACAAAAAGTGATTACAGCTTTTATGACCACGAAGAGTTATTCTTTTTTTTTTTTCGCTCCTCTTTTCGTTACTATCAACGTTCGCTCTTCAACTTTCGTCAGTGACTGCGTTTTGCATCAGTATGCTCACATTTAATAGATTGATTGTAAATTAACTCTTCTTTCGAAATATTTTTTCCAGCTGATGGCAGTAGTTTTCCCATATTTTCTTTATCCGTATGCGCAAAAAATTCACTCAAAAAATTGCAACTATTATTTTCCAGAATCCAGTGCACTGCATTATGGATCGGAATTTGACGTTTCAAGTCATATTGGCAGTACGGCACTATCGCAGCGATCAGCCCCTCGACATGTTCGAGCCGATATCAACTGTGCACCATCGCATCATCGTACAATTCGTATCGATAACATGGAGGTAGGGCTCAAATTCCTCAATAAAATTCAAGGCTGTCCAGAGATCAATCGTTATAATTTTGATTTAAACTGTTTTACGCATCGAAGGGAGGAAATTTTGCTGAAAGACAGGTGATCGTATGTAGAAACACGTAAAAATGCTTTGAGGTGACGAAAACAATGCATAAGAAAACGATTTTTTTTTAAACATACAAGTGAAGGCAAAAGAGGACAATGCTAACATAGCAGCGCTGGCATTTTTTGTTGCTGTGAATGTATAAAATAGTAGAATAAAAGGAATGGACTTAGGTGCCACATGTAAGAAGACATTTTATGATGCAGTCTCTGTGTTTCGTCTCTTAGCTGTATAAACACAGACGGAACTTTGCATTTTGCGGGTAGGAGCGGGAATCATCAGTACAGCCTACTGATACACATGTGTAAAGGAAAGGGCACAATACTAATATGCAGCTGCGCATTTTTTCTCGGCCTAATTTACAAGGACTTCTAAAAATATTTTGGATGTGATGATGAAATCGAAAATACTAAATATGCTGTTTTGACTCATATATGTTCACGTGAACGTATATCGGATATTTTTATGTTTTTTTTTCTTTTGAGTGTGAAGTTTTGACCTCTGAAATGAATTTTTCCAACTATCCGGCGTAGAAACTGTTTGAACAGTCTGTTACTGTTAACGATATTTCGCTTTTGCTTGCAGCGGCGTTTTGTGTGTAAATCTCATTTTCAGGATGATTTGGTGGAAGGTGGCGGTGGTGGTGAGGGGGGCACCACACGGCTTTATATCTGGGGAACACGTATTTGCGTCTATGAAGTGCAGTGCGCATTTCGTCGTTTTGTGATGGAATACAAACCCTCGGCCGTTTCGGATGATGAAAATGTGCTAACGCTTCCAACCAATTTACGAATGGGTAAGTGATTAATTGTTCTCCTAATTAGGTGTAGGGCACTTCATCGTCTTCCAGAAGCAGCCAGTTCGAGATGGGATAATGGTGATGCTCAACATACATCGAGGACCCGCATGCAAAATTCGGCCTGTGTTTACAGCTAAGGGATGAAACACAAACTGCATCATAAAAAAAATCTTCATCCACATAACAATTAAGTCTAATCCCTCTAACTCTACAATCTCAAAACAGCTACAGCAGAGCGGACTTTGGGTGAACGTTGTGCCTAGTAATTGCATTAGGATGCCAAAACGAACGTAAAATGTTGCCAGCAGATTGACCGCCAGACGATGCAGCATCGATCGGAACAAGTGGAAAAGTTGCCAGTTGCAGAGCTAGACCAAAATTTATAGTTGATTCATAAATCTTGGTTAGAAAACAAGCAAGATGATAATTTTTACAAAAAGTTTAATTTTATGTTTTGTGACAGTAAAAAACTCACTTTTTTCACTTTTTTACTGGGTATTTGTTGTGCCCAAAAATTACACTACTTGAGTTGTTCTGCCTGATGATCTTGGTGCTCTTCTGTTAGTTATTTTTATCTTGAATTTATTCGAGTAACTCTTTTTATAGACTTCACCACACCGCCATCAATCGTAGGCATCGGGCTGGAGGAAAAAGAGGCTAGCGAAAAGTAAAAGACACCTTCATTCGCTTATTTTGCTGTTTTTGCAGCCAAATGTCAAATTTTTGTCATAATTTTATGTTTGTGTGACATTTTTTTCATGTTTGTTTACTCTGAGTAATAAATCTTCTATTTTCATCACAAAAAGTTTTATAAACAAGCTAATGCGAAGTTATAAATCGTTTTATTTTAGAGGAGCAACAATAAGGAATATCCGAGAGCCTCTAAAATTGGTCTTACTTTTTTCAGAAATTGATTTGGAACGACCATATTACTTGGAGCGCCTATATGAAATAGATCAGAGTGAAAGCATTGCATTCAACGTGAATTTACAACACGTCCAGGAATTCAGTGAAGCGCTGTACCGAAAAATTATCTGCTACCCAGCGGTATATTAATATTTTTCTTACATCGACTGTAGCAAGAAGGTTAGCCCTGGAAGCCTAGATGGCGAAGGCGCGATAGATTACAGCATGAAAGAACAGTATGAGAAAAGAGGGCATCAGTGAGATAAGACGTTTCGGTCCATTAAATCTTAACACCGCAACTGGACCTCGTCAGTTATGTTTATTGATTGTTATTAGCGATTTGACTAGCATACTTCGTGAAGTGGCAGGTTGCGCTGCTTTTTTGCTACATATGCAAGGTTCATTTTCGCCAGCGAAACAGTTAGTCCCTTGTACGAACTGTTCATTCATTTTGGTGGCAAATTGGTACTGGCATCATCCAGGGAAACGAAGTCACTACTGGTCTTCGAAAAGCAGCCTTCGAAAGGAAACGGCTTGCCAGGGATGATTGCTTTTTGCCATTTGTTTCTATAAAAGCTACTTTGGAGTTCCTCTTATAGAGTGTGGGTAAAGAAGAGGTTTTGAGCAAAATAAAGATTTAAAATGACAAAGATTGAGGCGTTTTTTATAGAGATTTTTCGTTTAGATTGAAAGTACTGCTTCTTTTTTCTCCGACTGAGAACTGAGATATTTCGAATCGGTATTAGAATTCGAGTTTTTCTGATCCAAATAAAATTTAAAGGTTTTTTTTTCTTCTGTTGAGTTCGGAGAAACTGTATGTAGTAATTTTTGAAAAAGCTCTTCACAGAGAGTAAAGACTGAAATATTCGGAATTTTGATTCAACCGTCATTCATAGTCTAGTTCTTTAGCTCTCTCAACTTTACCTGAGCATCAGCTTCATGAATGAGGAAGTCCTCTGCTGATAATGGGCCAGTTGTTTTGCCCAGTTTTTCATCGCCCGAGCTACCGCTCCTGACATTCGTTTCGTCTTCTGAAGAAATTATCAGCTTTAACGTTTCTTCTCAAGGGATATCTCCCAGTGTTTTAGCAGTATCGAGACCTTTTTGATTTATGTACGCTGAAATTGTCATCACTTCGTCTAAAAGAGTTTTGAAAAATTTTTTTGAAACACAAATTTTTTTTCCATTGCTTATGCAGTGCGTAGGAATAATACCTTTCAGGATATCATTCCATACTTGGATTTGACAGTGAATGAAATTTTTGCCGAAAAATATCAAAAAGTGCTGTACTCGCCGATTGAGGTTCGCCCGTTCAATGCCGAGAAAACACGTAATATGCGCGCTCTGAACCCGGGCGATGTTGATCAGCTAATTACAATAAGTGGTATGGTGACACGAAAATCACCACCAATACCGGAAATGCGACAAGCATATTTCCAGTGCAACACTTGCAACTTTTCGGTAATTTTTCTTTTTTTTGCAGCTCTTGAAATTTGTGCGAAACAAGGTTATCACGGTGCGAATATTGAGGAAGTTATCGATGAGGATTGAGGGGCTGAGATTTCTTCTGTGCTAAAATGGTTATCTAGCGGTTATTGACGAGCCAAAACACTCATACAGAGATACTTACTTGAATACTTGAGCAGATATATGTCATCGACGTTCGTTGTCATGCCATCGATGCAGCACTGGCAACTTCTCCATTCAACTCATTATTGCGCTCTTCGAGACTACATGGTACTATACAGACGGTACCAAAGGGTCTCTCTACCTCGTTGATAGTCTCCTCAGTGTTCGCTTGACCGTGCGCTGGTATCATTCCATTTTCCACTTCGTCCATCTATTATCTGTTATCCGTGCTACATAACCAGCCCATCTGTTCTTCGTGCTGATGTACATTGCTTCGATAATGTCTTTCACGCCAGATCTGGCTCAGAGCACTTCATTTGGGATGTGCTGCAGCCTGCTGACACCAGCCATCCGTCAACCATCTGCATCAATAGAGCATACAGAGGTGATACATGACAAAGCGCTGATTATCTGGGATATCTGGTACAGCTATTAATAGGTAGTCCAGATCTGTGTCTTTGCAACTGGCAACTTCTCCATTCACTACAGTTTTGTGCTTTCCACATCCACAAAACTGCCAAAATTTGTGTTAATAGAGATGGATACATTGGTAGCAGTAGTGGTCTTTGAATAAATGTTTCTTACATGTTCAAAGGCAATACTTTGTCGGAGATTTTGTTTTTAATAAGAATTTATAATAAGGAATGAAATAAAGAGAAAAACCCAGGCTGGAACGCACCAGGCGGGCCGGTGCGATTATGCGTTTTTGCACTTTTCGTA